ACATCGATGCGCAACCCATTTAAGCCCGTAAGTGCAAGTGAGAGGTTGGATGTACTTTTATCTCACTTGCACTCACGGGTTTTAACGGATTGCGCACACATCAGTCTTTCCTACCCATGTAAATTAAGCTAACTTTGTCTAAGCAAAATGGAAAGGCGCGCAATAGCTCTGATTGGCTCATTCGGTTTTGCAGCTCTATTACGCGCTGTGGGACTACACTAAAAAACGCTTAACCTCGTTCTTAATGTTATAACTTTTGAACATATCAGGGATGAATTTTAGAAAGTAAAAAAAAAGGATATAATTGAAAACATTTCATTAAACAAGACACTCGTAACAATGAAGGCAAGATATTTAAATGCAGATCAATGATGTGGTAAAAAATTTAAATATCTTATTTAAATGTCTCATTTGCATGTCTCATAACACAAGGTCGTATACTCAAGCTTTGTGTATAAAGTTATTTAGAAAAAGTTATACCGAGAACACTAAAAACATTGTTGGTGATCAGTAAAAAGAAAAAATATAACAAGACAAAAGTCTCTAGCAGTATGCATTAACGGGAGGAACAAAAAGTAGACAAGAATAGTAATTAACAACCACTTCTTTAAATTTTTATATTTTTGAAGAAAAAAGTGTAAACTAAAAATTATTGTAAAACAATCAGTGTAAGTGTAGCATACATAAATATGAAGTTGTAAATATTTTGTACTGTTTGTTTTTAGAAAATTCTGATAAAAGAATGTTAAAAATTCACAATTATTTGTTTTATAGTACAAAAAAAACGAGAAACGAAAAATTTCTCAAATTGCTAAAATAAATCATGAAATGTGTTTTAATATTATAAAGAAGAGGTTGACCTTAAGAAATAAAATGGTTAAAATGAGAAAAAGTAAAAATGTATTAAAATTACTTTATTATAGTTCAGGAATCAACAATTTTCCTTGACTGTTTAGCAACTTTTAAGCAAGTCATTGGTGTATATTTCACATTTCTGAAAGATTAAGAATTTTGAATAAAGTTTTTTAACAATAGAAATTCAACATATTTTATACTAATGCGATTTTTAAATTAAAAAAATTAATATATTAATTAATTAATAGTAATCTA